AATGCTGAAATTATTGTTTTTAACATCCAAGAAGAACAGTACAAACTCAATATCCTGCTGAAGTGACGTGAAATCAGCAAATGTTGCCAACTATATACGACTTTTTGGACGTTTTCCTGCAAATAATTTTTCACAAAAAAAGAACCAGATTTCTGTCTGCACGGTTTAATGAATGATTCAGATTGTTCCAATACGAAACATTTTTTATTTAGTTAATAAGAGTGAATCTTGCGAAAAAGGAACAAATGTTGTTTTGCGAGACTCATCAAGAATTTTTGTTTTTCTGTCTTAACCCTTCTACGGTATCCTCACTTTATCACACAAACGGTATTTTGTGGGTCTAGTAAGACCCACATGTAAATGAGTTAGGAAAACGTGATTTTTTTACTGTTTTGCGCTTGATATGGTGGATCAAAGCCTATATCATGATTTTTTTAAGTGTGCACACATTAATATGGTTGTGATGTGTAACAACGATCGTACTTTTAAAAAAAGTTTTTAAGAGGAGATCACGATAAAATTACGGTTTTAAAATGTTATCGAATGAACAATGTATATAATTATGGATTGGATAGTGAATGTCGTTATATACACAGTCACTTATATTAAAAGCAACAGAAATCTCGTTCTTGTTTATTTTTTTATTTTTAAAAACCAATAAAAGAAAATAACATCAGTATGACGCTAAAACTGTTTTCGTTCTTCTTGTAAGTTTATGTGAATCAAGTTTCATGCTGTTGAATTATTTTTTTCACATAATTGACAAATAACACTGGTGAAGCTGGATGAATGAGATCTACAGACATTGTTTTTGCATATGTCACACACTTGTTGACTTTTACGACCAGGATGTGTTGGACACATATAACATCGTCTTCTTCGTTTTGAAGGATCATTTATACGTACTTGATTTACTGTTATTTTTGGCTTTAATTCAAAACCAAGTGATTGTAAAGCAAGTTGTATCTTTGATGTAAGACGAACTTGTTGACTTCGACGTTCATTATGAGGGTTTGTTAAAGATTTTCCGAGATCTTCTAGAAAAAGACGTCGAATATAGTTTTTCCGGCTATGCCAATCCGGATTCTGACATAACCATAAAGTCATTGCATTGATTGCCGCAATGTCGATCAAATTAAAAAACACCATCATTGGCCATCTTTTAGTTACTCGACGAACTGTATATGTACCAATGCATTGATCTATAATATCAACTCCGAATTTTGTTTGATTGTAATCGTGAATCATAGTAGGAAGTTTCTTCTCATCATCTAATAATTCAGGAAAATTATGTAATGTAGATAATAAAATAATCGGTGGTTTTTTTTCTTTTGCTTGATAGGATACGATTATGTTTTCTTCTGCAAAAAAAACAAGAAGAATAAAGTTCATTTCGGACAACTTTTAATTCATTGGGAACAAAAGATCGTTTTTGATCAACGACACCAAGTGAAGTCATTTTTCGTTCTAATAAAGATTTGGCCAAGTCTAAATTGGTGAAATATCGATCATAAGTAACATTACGGTCTTGTTTGACGTTGTTGGGTAGCTGATCGATTAAACGTAAAACAACATTTGTAGGAAGATTCCGTTGAATTACATTGCCTATTTTACCAGTATATAATTCTAATGCTAAAACGTATCGACTATCAACATCAGATAAGACCCAAAACTTGATGCCGTATTTGTTTTGCTTGTTTGGCATATATTGTACGAATGAACATCGACCACGAAATGGAGCCAATTGTTCATCAACAGTTACGTTCTCACTTGGAATGAAATGTCGAGGAAGTTGCTTGACGAAAGATTCAAAAACATATCGAATTGGGGCAAGTCGGTCTGATTTATCGCGTTGTTGACGATCATCAAATCGAATGAACCTCAAGAGATGTTGAAAACGTTTTAATGACATCGTTGCATGAAATATAGGACAACTTTTACTGATATCCCATAATTCTTCGACCGATTGATGGTTAGTGTGACTAACACCAGCTTGAATTAGTAAACCGAGAAATGCTTCTAATTCTATACGATCGAGTTCTTTCCATTTGATTAATTTTGAATGATGAACATCAGTATTTAATCGTCTTTGGTTTTGTTGATCAAAATATCTTCTTGCATAATTGTTTGTATGTAATACAATTGTGTCTAATATATCATTTATGAAGAAGAGCTTGAACGCATCTTCTATTGTATAAACAGCAGTAATAGCACCTGGTTTCTTCTTCATTATACTGGTGGCACGAAGACGACCATGATCTTTACTATTGTTTATTGACCACGTAACACCACCTTTTTCTACTGATTCAGGTTGAGTATTGGTGCTTATGTCATCATCACTAATGTGAGAATCAGATGAATCATCTTCTTTCAAAATACATTCATCAGTGGATATATCATCAGATTCTGTTCCAGATGGAGAATAATCAGAATCAGAATTCGATTCGTCATCTTCAAAAACAGTGTCATCAAATTCATTATTGTTATCATTATCTGTAAGAATGGTCTCTCGAATTCTTTTTAGATTTGATTTAGTAGTCATATTTTTATCTGAAAAATCAAAGAAAAATTGAATTGTGTGTTCGAACAACTTTTGAAGTTTTCAGGCTAGTTGTTTTCAACAAAAAAAACTCGAGTATGGTAGTCATAATCATGACCAAAAGCGATGGCAGAAATATTTCGATAAAAAATATGAAAACATCCGCAGAATAAGATAAAAAACCACATGATTGACTATTGGCAGTGACGAAGTAACGAATCTTTGGTAAATAAACTCTTTAAACAATAGAGAGCAGACGTAGTATGAATAAAAATCATTTGTATAACACCAAAGGTGTTTGTGGGTCCATGGTGACCCACACTTCAGTTTTTTATTGGTAAGACTTTTGCGCGAAACTCCATATGGCTCTTGTGGATCATCAGAAGACTAACAATTAGCGGAGAGATCGTTCCGAAAAGGATAGCTCTTTAAGAAGAAAAAAACGAAAAACAATATTGTGGGTCTTGTCGGACCCACAAAAACCGTAGGAGGGTTAAAGTTCACTGATAAAGTGGAAAACTTTGATGGAAAGCAAAAACGACTTCTATACAAAACAGTATCGTTTCAGAAGTCGTGGTAAATATGTTTGCTCGTTTTTGCAGACATTTAAATGTAATTCAAGAGAATTGTAGCTAGAATTTGATGCTATTTCTAAATATATCTTTAGAATTTCGCACTCGTTTACATCTTTTTAGCTTTAAGAAAATACCTGAATAAATAAAAAATGTCGTTTGCGCTACTCAAAAGACGTTTTTCTTTCTATTGTTGGTAATTTCTCTGAAGGATATGTTACAAACGTTTTTCGAAATACTACTTTTTATATGAGATGACATTTTCAAAGGAATCGTTTCTTGCAAATTTCGGTATTGAAATGCAATAGATTTTGATGGTTTGCAACGATATGTCGGAAGGATATTTTGTAGAGCAAGTTTCGTTCTACAAACTGGTGTATAAGAAGACTTCCTTATAGTTTAAATTGAGGTAACAAAAATGGACTACGTGAAAAATTCTGTACAAACGTCGCTTTGGACTTCTATCAAAGATGTGCTCTCTATGAATGAACTTATAATAATAATTAAAAGAGTATGAGTGAGAAACCTGCAATAAGCTCGCGATTATTGGACTTATGTTTTGCTCTTTTAGAGAAGTCCGCATAAAAACAAAATTAAAATGAACTATTTAATATAAAAAGACTGACGTCTAATGTGATCTTCTTAAGACAAGTCTTAGATAATAAAATCTATTCCTGAATAACTACAGAAAAAAATATTTGACTCCATTCTCTAGGTTACATACATCTCTACTACATTAATTAGAGATAATATTACAAATATTTACTGAAAAAAAATCTTTCCTCTAGATTTAGAAATTTTTTTATAGGGCAGAATCTTTGGTAGTAAGTTCTAAAGGTTTCGTACCGAACTTATTCTATAGAATGAAATAATCATCCAACAATCGATCAATTCGTAGCGAAAAAATGAATTCAACACATGCATCGTATGATTATTAAAAGATTTCTCATCAATCGAATAAATATTTTTCCAGAGGAGCTATTATCCTATGATAATTTTTTTTTGCCATAGACTTCATATCATCTGAAGTTATTTTCCTTTGCTACAAGGGAATTATCATTTACTTTAATCAACTTGTTAAGTAGATGTTTCCAAGTTCAAACCAATATCTGGCATCTGATCCATGCTTCAAGAATGTATGGGACACTATTACGTTCAAAAAATGTAATTCGTAATTGGAAACTAGTTGACATAATTATATCGTCAGTTTTTTGTAATTACATCGGTATCGTATTCTTGAAACAGAAAAAAGAATAAAGAAGGGTGTGGGTGTGTAGGTGTGTAGGGTGTGGGTGTGGGTGTGGGTGTGGGTGTGGGTGTGGGTGGGTGTGGGTGGGTGTGGGGTGGGTGTGGGTGTGGGATATAGATGTGAGTTAGTGAATGTCGGTGGGTCTCAATCTTCCTTCCTTTGACACCCACGCCCCACCCTGGCAGGGTTAAATAATCATAATCTATATCTGATCATTTCATTTATATAATAGTTGCTTGAATTTCCGCAAAAATTTTAAAAGAAATCTTTCTCTTATATTTTATTTTAATAATAATTGAACATTTTAGGTTAGAGTTTTGGTAATAGTTTAAAATGTTCTTGAGGAAGTGTTGCCGACTTTTTATCTTTCGAAAAAATGTCTTATCAATAAAACATGAGCAATAGTTGGTGATACTGTTAATTAGGTAGGGTGGCAGATATTTCGCACTAGGGTGTGGGTGAACCGAACTACACCTACACCCACACCCTCGACGATCAGCTAAAACCTTTACTATATGCTTGAAAGCTCGGAAGAGTATAACAAATTGTTCGAGTCCATTTTTATCCACAATTCAATGGCTCAATTGGAAATCGATTTATTTAGATCACAAGAAATTTTCATGAAACTATCGTCATCATTTTCATATTTAGCTTTAAAAACCGTTTGTATATCTTTACTTTTTATACCTTTTATTGAAATATATCTAAAACAAAATTTTGAAATCAAATTCTATAAAGTCTTGTGAAAAACTTTTAATGGCAATCTTCAAAATAAAAATAGTTGTTTTAAATAATAAGAAGCAATACAGAAAGCAGAAAAGGTGACAACCCTGATTTGATCAATATTCAACTAGAAGAGATGACATTTTTATCATAAATAGATTAGAATAGCAATAGAAAATTGCAATATCAAAGTCTTATTCTATTGTTATGTTTGAGTTAAAGAAAACAAAAGTATCCAATTTTCAATGTGGAAGCAGATTTGCTCTTCATCATTATCGCTATGCATCCAATTATATCTTCAATATCTTTCATATTCCTTTGAAAAAATGAATTACACTCAAAAACAGAGTCAAAGAATGAAGAAAACAAAAAAGAAACAGTAGAAGTACAAAAATGATTATTGTATGTCCAAAGCTCAAGTACCTATGATGAAGATAAAACAAACGCACGCTTGTTTCCTTCGATTTTAGCTTGACATTCTGCATGCAAAGTTTTCAACCGTTCAGGTCGATAAAGACTAAAATTTCCAGTGATTCTAACCAATAACATTGCACGAAATATAATGTTTGATTGAATTATTTACGAATAAAAGATCGTATCACTTCAATTTTGTCATACATCTCTTTTTCATTTGCCGATAAATTCATTCGACCAAGAAAATAGCTCAAAGTTGACATTGCGCTGTTTTAAGATCAAGTAGTTGAATTAGTGTTTCGGAAAGAAATGGAAAATGTTCCATGAAACCTATGACACAGATGATCACATCTGCTTGTAAGTACTCAACTGAATCAAGTCGAATCGTTGTTCCATTGACCAAAACCAATACACCGATAATTTGATCCTCGTCTTTCAATCGAATAAAATCGTCATGTATGCACAAATAATCTTCTCTGTTCCTAAATGAACTCTTTGGCAAAAAATTTGATTATCAAACGGAATAGAGCACCATGTGGTTCCTATGGATACGGTTAGAGGAAAGCATTCGAAACAGGCGAAAACAAATATCGACTGGATAGGCGACCATCCATAAGATGATTAAGAATCAACCAATGTGCACGACGAAACAATATATGACATGTTTTCGCATAAGTACCAGCTATTATGGCTAGGCCAAAGACAGATTTACTTTCATCAAGTACCAAAACATGTTTATTTTCTAGCTGTTCAGATGATTTGATGTCGCAAATGTAAACAATTGAATCGAGAAATTTGTTCTGACGACGTATAATAGGCATATGAGGAGTTGAAAAAAGACCAGTAGCAGTGACAATCAGATCGAAT